GGAGGCTGGAGCCTCCTGCCCCAGGGAAGGCTGGGGGTGAGGAAAGCAGGAAGGCCTAGGACAGAGACCTCCAAGGGGGTTAGAATGACCAACTCGCAATGAATAGAGTCCAGGGTGGCCGAGTCAATGCAGCCTTTCCTTCCGAGCATCCCTCAAGACCTGCCCTTGGATATTATATGGAGGAAACACAAGAGGGCATTTCACCTCCAGGAAGCCTTCCCTGACTTCGCCGAGGAAACTGGGCCTCCCTCTTCTTGGCTTCCATGCCCTTGTCCATTCCCCAATCACAGGCAAAGTAGCACAGTAGTTGAGCTATTGAGGATCTAGAACCCTACCCAGGTTCAAATCCTGACACTACCACTCACTAGAGCAGGTGTAATAATTAGACAAATTATTTGAACTCCCATCTGTAAAAATAAAATTAATAACAGTACTTATGTCAGTGGTTTGTGTCAAGGTTTAAATGATAATGTAGGCAAAGCACTCAGCACGGTGCCTAAAACACAATGTATTAAAAAAAATTATCCAAATTATTATTACTACTGTTGCTACTACTACTACTACAGCACTCCACACTCCGTACGGTAAAATCTGTTAACATTTGTCTACTGCGCCAGACTATGGCTCTTTGAGAATGGACTGTTCCTACGTCACACTGACATCCCTCACACTTGACCATCCCCTAGGACTGGCTAAAGATAATCTCTGTTCAATATACACGTGGGGAGAGAATGAGTGGGTAAATCGGGGATCAGAGGCAAGGTAGAGGTCATTCATTTCAGATTCTCCCCTTGTGATAGGAAGTGGGGGTGAGGATATGTAAAGTCCTTCACTCACCAACAAACTTCTATTAAGCAGGGACCTGTGCCAGTCACCAGGCTAGGCTGGGGTGTGGGGATGCAGAAATGCATAAGAAACATTCTGGTGTCTTGGGTCCTCATCTTCAAAGAAGGAAACAGGGAGTTCCCTGGTGGCCTAGTGGTTAGGATTCCAGGCTTCCACTGCTGTGGCCGGGGTTCAATCCCTGGTCAGGGAACTGAGATCCCACAAGCTGTAGGGTGTGGCCAGAAAAAAATAAAAAAGGGAAGAAGGAAACAGAAAGGGATGAATATATGCATTAAAGTGGGAAGGGTTTCCTTTCTGGATTGGGCCTCACCCTCACTTCCACCCTCCCACCCCAACTCCCATCCCCTGCCTTAGGTGGCCTATAGACTGAGGAACCTGGATGTGCGGGCCTTTCTCTGGAACAGACAAGTGGATCGAATGTAAGTGGGACTATCCCCACCTGGTCGCCGGGTCCTCCCCCAAACTCCTCACCCCTTGGCCCCTCACTCTGCCCCTCCCATACAGTGGACCCCCAATAGCACTGGCCTCAGGAAGCTCCCTTCACCGCTGGAGCATCATCTCGGAGTTCCAGTACCGCCCTGGGGGCCCTGTCATCAACTTCCTGAATACCCAGCTGCTAGACGCAGTGGTGGAGGTGTTCTTAACTCCGTGGAGGAGGTGGAAGAGAAGTGCGGGGCCCAGGAACAACGTGACCTTCCACCCCATCTACAGGAGGGACGTGTACAGTATTATGGCTTGTGAGTCACTGTCTTGGGGACAGCTACTGGGATAGCTGAGGGGGGAGGTAAGCAGAGGGAGCCTGTCACAGATCTGCAGCCCACACAAATCCATGGCTGAAATGTGTTCTACAGCAAGCCACAGACAAAAATTAAGTTAATTTAGTTTTTTTTGTTTGTAATTTTTGAGAGAAATTGTGAACATTTTACCCACCAGCCTTCTAAATTCAAGAACAGGCGCACAAAATACTGCTTGATGAATCCCCACGTGTACAGTTTCACAGAGCAATTACTCCAACTGCTGCTTTCCTGACCGTCACTGCTAATGGTTTTCTTTCCACAAAATTGTTAATGATTTGGTTAAAAGACCGTTGTACTTTATAAACATAAACAAGGACATTCTTTTTGCCTTTGCCCTCCAGCTGGAGATATTCAGTTGAAGGCTGGAGACCTGGCCCAGGGGCAGATATATCCCCTCCCTGAAAGAGTGTGACCCCATGCAAAAGCCATCCCCAATCTAGGCCTCCACACTCCCATCTGGAAAATGAGATGGGATTTCTGAGGTCCCTTTCAATTCTGACAGCCCCTAATTATCCCGGAACAGGAATGAAATATGTTGGCAAGCTTGCCAGGGAAGGAAAGGAATAGCCCACCATATTTTGTGAGTCAGGCAGAGAACAGGGCAGTGAGTATGTCAAACCCAACAGAAGCTGCTGCGTTACTTGGGTCCAGGACCAAGCCAGAGCTTCTTTTAGAATCTAGGCTAAGCCTCCTCCGTCCCAGGAGCAACGATGTGAAATTCTCCAAACTACTATGTGTATGGGTGGTAGGGGGGTAGGGTTGGGGTTAAGAGGACACCCCAGACCTGATTGTGCCTTTTGTTAGAGAAAACAAACAAACAAACATCCCGCAATTTTTATTATACAAGTACAATGTGTTTATTGTAGAAACTTTAGGAAACACAAATTAACAAAAAGAAAAAAAAAATCACTTGTAATCCCTGTCCCCAAAGACAAATCCATTTTGCACCTATTTTTCTGAATTTTCTTTTATGCATAGGAACCTTCACACATATAAATTTGTTTACAATAAAGGGATCAAATCATGCCTAATGTTTGTTAACCTCCTCATTACTGAAATAATTGTGAACATATTATCTTGTATATTGTTTACACATTCCAATTTCATATATTAGTTTACAATATGTCTTAATATAGTGTGCTATAATAGATTTTAAAAAGAATGTTATACTAATAGTGACCATTTAATGAGGGCTTCCTGTGTCAGGCACTGTTATATTATCTGTTATATTATATTATCTGCATATATTATCTCATTTAAAATTTACAGCAAGGTAGTTTCCTTTTAAAAATAAGGAAACTGAGGCTGAAAGAGTTAAGAAATTTCCCCTAAACCACACAACCAGTTAGTAGTAGAGTTTGAATTTCAACTCAGGTCTGGCTGATTTCAAAGCATATGCTCTTAATCAATGCATTTTTCATACCGTGGTGCTTATCAGTTGCACAATATTTAACAAAACCACTCCTGTTGAACATTATTGCTCTTATTAACCATGCTGCTCTGGTCTTCCATGAACATATGTAGTTTTCATGTGTGTTTCCAATTATTTCTCAGGATAAATGCCTGAAAATGGAATTCTTGATCCAAAAGGTATAGATCTGGTGTTAATCGGTTGCTTTCTATATTCACTTTTTTCCTACCTGACAGTGAATGTGAGCACGCTGGAAACTTACTTCCAATGCAGCGGATACAAGGGCTACCATCTGGTCTTCCACCCCCAGAGCGGCTTCACCTGCGTGTCCCCCTGCAGTGAGGGCTACTGTGAGCACGGAGGCCAGTGCCAGCACCTGCCCGATGGGCCCCGCTGCAGGTGGGCGGGGCTGGGGGCAGGAGGCGGAGGGCAGTGCTGGGAATCCAAGCTGCAAGGGGTCCGGAAATGCCATGGTACCTCGTGGTGTCTGAAAATTTAGGATGGCTCCGTTTGTAATTAAGAGAAAGGGGATCAGAGGGAAAAGGGACAATGGAAAAGAAGATGTGTGCATGCCTAAACTGTGCGGATGAAAAAGTTGCTATATTACCTATGCAACTCAAACCAGCTACTGGGTAGATATTATGACCACTTTAAAGATGAGAAAACTGCAGCTTAGAGACGATAAGGAATCTGCCTAAGGTACCCAGCAAGTTAAGTAACAGGATCGGGGTTCCAAAGCCAGACTCTCCCACCTGATTTTGCTTCTTGGGTGGACAGCCTGCTGCCTCATTGTGGAAAAGGAGCCCATTGTCTTGTGTCTAGGCCCGGCCCTGCCCCTCCTTAAGAGTAACAGGGGAGGCCCTCTCAAACTGGCGCCCTCTGTCCCACCGGTTCATCAGCAGTCTGAGGGGCTCCTGTGAGGGGAGTGCACTAGGTCGCAGGCCTGCCATGGAGAGGGGCAGCGCCACCTGGGCCATCTTGTCACATCAGTGCCCTCCGTCTACGCTTGTTCCCACTGCAGTTGCAGATGGGCCCAGCCCTCTCCGCTCCTGAGTCCAAGGAGGGGGCGGGTGGAGCCTAGCACCGGACCCCAGCTCTCCGGGGGTAGGCAGGGTTTGTGACTGCGCATGCTCACCTGCGGCCAGCCCCGCCCCCTCCCCGAAGTCCCTGTGGAGGCGACCTTAGATGAATTCACCACCCCTCCCCCATCCCCCGCCCTCCTTGGTAGCCCGGTGGCCTCCCCTCAGCTCCAAGTCAGGGCTGACTCCGCCCCTTCCCTAGAGGGGAGCCGAGCCTATCGTGGAAAACCTCCTCTGGCCCGACAGAGAGGAGGGATGGGGAGGCCGAGCCACCAGCTGACCGTGTCCCCTCTCTCTGTCCCCAGCTGTGAGCCCTTCTCCATCTACACGCCCTGGGGCAAGCGCTGTGAGCACCTGAGTTTGAAACTCGACGCCTTCTTCGGGATCCTTTTCGGGGCCCTGGGCGCCCTCCTGCTGCTGGGGGTCGTGCTGTTTGTGTTCCTGCACTTCCGGGGCTGCTGCGGGAGCCGTTTCTCCTACCCGCTGGGCTCGGAAAGCTGAGGCTTTGCCCCGAACGGGCTGCGGTGGCCTATGATACCTCAGGAGCTACCCCAGCCTCACCTGCACACACTCCCAGGCGTCGTGGTTTAGGGAGCCTGGAAAAAGTAAGGTGACTGATGCGGATTCAGGATTCTTTAAGAAGAATGAATAATGGGAATGAATAATAAAGACCACACCTTGTCAGAACAGGAGACACAGAGGCTGAAAGGAAGAGGCCATAAAGGCCTACTATATAAACAGATGGATTCTCACACAGACATACCCACACAGAGGACACTGACCTACAGAAACACTACGTGTACACACCAGAGTTGATGGGGTGATGGCTTTAAATTAAAAACCAAAATACATTTACACACAAAAGTCTCCAGTTTACTTCTAATTAAAGTTTATTTAAATAAAATCCCTCTGACTTTTTGTGTTCCCAAAGCCATGGATTTCATTCATGATTTTCCTCTGGTGGCTAAAGGGCCTGATACAGAGGGTGGAGGGAGTAGAGGTCGGTTGGACCCAGTCCTGCTTCAGCCCTCAGTTACTCTATGTTGGGAAGCTCGGTTACTCCAGCCCAGACTTGGATCTTTGCTTCAGTCTCCACATCCCCTTCTTCCCCTCCCCCCAACACAAGCCAAGGCCTGGCCCTCTGAGGAGAGTGGTAAGGATACCCCCATATGGAGTATCCCCAACTCTCTCCCAGGACCCTTCCCTGCCTTGCTGGTCTCTGCCCATCAGTTTCAAGAGGATAAGTATGCAGTGCCTTTTCCTATCTGGAGTGTTCCCTGGAGGAAGGATTAAATCATTTCAGCTCCCTTTCCAGGAGCCACCCCATCCTTAGATCTAGGGTACCCAACCCCTGATACATTTTCTCTGTCCTTTCCTGGGCCCCAGTTAGAGTCTTTTGAGCTGCTCCACCCCGTACTCCCTCAGTCCCACTCTCTCTGCTTTTCCCAGGAACCTGATCAGTTTCCACCTCAACCTTCTCTCTTAGCAGGCAGAACTTTACACATATCTGGTATAACAACTCCAAGGACAATTGGTCCACACCTCCTGTGTCCAGAGCACCTCAGTTCCAATCCTGTGCAGAAGCTGGGTAGTTGCCTTTTGGTCCTATATCCCAAATCCATGAAGAGAGAATCTGATTGGTCCAGCTTGTGTCAGTTGTCCATCCCTGGTCCAATCAAGTGTAACCACAGAGTAGGAAAAGAGGTCACATGATACAAACCTGGTGATCAGGCTCAGACTTGTAGGTGAGTAAGTGGTGTTGGGAGAAGTTCCAAGAGAAATATGATTTCTGATCTGAGCAAAGACTCCAAACTGTCTGCTTTACATAGAGAACGACTTCTCCCAGCAGGTGAAGCGCCTCCCAATATGTACAAGTCTGTCGTTTTCCCCTCAAATGCCCCCAAGTGTAATCAAGTCTCCATATAGAACCACATTCATTTAATCCCAGCATTCACTTATGAAGAATTAAGCACATGGGAATTCTCTGGTGGTCCAGTGGTTAGGACTCTGTGCTTCCACTGCAGGGGGTAAATGTTCGATCCCTGGTCGAAGAACTAAGATCCCACGTGCTGGGTGGCATGGCAAAAAAATAAAAAATAAAAATAAAAAAGAATTAAGCACGTAGCCCAAATACGTTCACTGGTGAATTCTATTGATACCTAACATTTCAGGAAGAAATTCTACCAACTCTATAATCTCTTTCAGAAGACTGAAGCAGAGGGAAGCTTCCTAACTCATTCTGTAAGGCCAGCACTTTCCTAATACTAAAACCAGAAAAATGCATCACAAGAAAATAAAACTATACACCAATCTCTCATTAACATAGATGCAAAAATCCTCAAGAAAATATTGGCAAATAGAATCCAACAATGGATAAAAGGAATTATACACCACAATAAAGTGGCATTTATCCCAGGTACGCAAGTCTGGTTCTACATTTTAAAATAAATTAATGTAATCTATCATGTCAACAGACTGAAGAAGAAATCACATAATCATATCCATAGATGCAGAAAAAGCATTTGACAAAATTCAACACCCTTTTTTGATGAAAACTCTCAACAGACTAGGAATAGAGGGGAACTTCCTTAGCTTGATAAAACACACACACACACACACACACACACACACACTCTACAAAAAAATCCTACAGCTAACATCATACTTAATGGTGAGAAACTCAAAGCTTTCCAGCTAAGATCAGGAATAAGGCAAGGATGTCCCCTCTTACCACTGCTTTTCAACATTCGTACTGGAAGTCCTAACTAATTCAATAAGACACACAAAAAATTCTTTTTAAGGTATAAAGATTGGGAAGGAAGAAATGAAACTGTCATTGTTCACAAATGACATGATTGTCTATGTAGAGAATCTGAAAGAATTGATTCTAAAAAACCCTCCTGAAACTATTAAGAAAATTTTTTTTTTTTTCTGCGGTACGTGGGCCTCTCACTGTTGTGGCCTCTCCCACTGCGGAGCATAGGCTCCGGACGCGCAGGCCCAGCGGCCATGGCTCACGGGCCCAGCCGCTCCGCGGCATGTGGGATCCTCCCGGACCGGGGCACGAACCCGCGTCCCCTGCATCAGCAGGCGGACTCTCAACCACTGCGCCACCTGGGAAGCCCCTATTAAGCAATTTTATCAAGGTTTTAGGATACAAGGTTAATGTACAAAAATCAATTGTTTTCCTGTATACCAGCAATAAACAAATAGAATTTGAAATTAAAAGCACGTTACCATGTCCATTAGCAACCAACCAATAGAATTAAATACTTAGGTATAAATCTAACAAAATATATACAAGGTCTGTATCTGGAAAACCACAAGACTCGGATGAAAGATATCATAGAACTAAATAAATGGAGAGATACTCCATGTCCATGGATAGGAAGACTCAATACTGTCAAGAAGTTAGTTCTTCCCAGCTTGATCTACAGATTCAATGCAAACCCAATCAAAACCCCAGCAAGATTTTTTATAGATATTCACAAACTGATTCTAAAGTTTCTCTGGAGAGGCAAAAGACCTAGAATAGTCAATTCAATATTGAAGGAGAAGAACAAAGTCAGAAGACCTATACTACCTAATTCAAGACTTACTTTTAAGCTAAGTACTTTATAAACTATAGTAATCAAGACAGTGTGGTGTTATTAAAAGAATAAACAAATAGATCAGTGGAACAGAATAAAGAGCCCAGAAATAGACTCACATAAATATAGTCAACTGATCTTTGACCAAGGAGCAAAGGCAACACAATGAAACAAAGACAGCTTTTTCAACAAATGGTACTAGAACAACTGAACATCCACATGCAAAAATATGACTCTAGACACAGACTTTACACCCCTCACAAAAACTAACTCAAAATGGAACAAGACATAAATGTAAAATACAAAACTATAAAACTCCTAAAAGATAACATAAGAGGAAACTTAGATGACCTTGGGTATGGTAATGACTTTTCAGATACAACACCAAAGTCATGATCCATGAAAGAAAGAATTGATAAGCTGGACGTCATTAAAATTAAAAACTTCTTTCAAGAGAATGAGAAGACAAGCCTGGGGGAAAATATTTGAAAAAGATGCATCTGATAAAGGACTGTTATCCAAAATATACAAAGGACTCTTAAAACTCAACAACAAGAAAACAAACAACCTGATTAAAAGATAGGCAAAAGACCTGAGCATAGACCTCACCAAATAAGATATACAGATGACAAGTAAGCATATGAAAAAATGTTCAACATCATACATCATTAGGGAACTGCAAATGAAAACAATAAGATTCCACTACACGCCTATGAGAATGGCCAAAACCCAGAACACTGACAACACCAAATGCTATAAGGATGTGGAGCAAAAGCGGTTCTCATTCCCTGCTCCTGGGAATTCCAAAGTGGTGCAGCCACTTTGGAAGACAGTTTGACAATTTCTTACAGAACTAAACATACTCTTACCATATGATCCAGCGATTGCACTCCTCGGTATTTACCTAAAAGAGATGAAAACTTATATCCACATAAAAACCTATACATGTATGTCTATAGTAACTTTATTCCTAATTGCCAAAATTTGGAAGTCACCAAGATGATTTTCAGTCGATGAACAGGTAAATAAACTATGGTACATCCGGACAATGGAATACTACAGAGCACTAAAAAGATATGAGATATCAAGCCATAAGACATGAAGGAAACTTAAATGCATATTATTGCATGAAAGAAGCCAATGTGAAAAGGTTACATAGCTTATGATTCCAAGTATATGACATTCTGGAAAAGGCAAAACTATGGAGATAGTAAAAAGATCAGTGGTTTCTAGGGGCTTAAGAGGGACGGAAGGATGAATTGGCAGAACAGAGAGGATATTGAGGGCAGTAAAATTATTCTGTACATCACTACGATGGCAAATGCATGTTATAATACATTTGTCAAAACCCATACAACACCAAGAGTGAACCTTAACGTAAACTATGGACTTTGGATGCTAATGATGTGTCAACCAACATAGGTTCATTGATTGTAACAGATGTAACAGATGTTCTCCGATGGAGGATGTCAATAGTGGGGGAGATTGTAAGTGTGTGGGGGGAAGGGGCTATGTGGGAATTCTCTGTACTTTTGGCTCAATTTTACTGTGAACGTAAACTACTCTGAAAATAAATTTTATTAACTTAAAAAATAATACAAATTTAAATCAAAAGAATTAAACACATATGGCACTGAGGACAGACAGCATGGGGGGTGGGGAGTTGTCCAACAGTTAGAAAGAAGGGAATGTAAAACAAGGAGGGAGGGATGACAGAAGCATGGTGGACTGGCGAGACTGCCGTGCCTTGACCATTGCAATCTCAAAACTAAGCTATGCGATGAGGACTTGAGGTCAGGTAGGGGAAGGCTGTCTTTTAGGGTAAGGTACAAAATTTATGTCTCATCCTCAACCCAGTCAGGACCCTTGGCAAGGGATTTACCCATGCTGTGCAACACATGATTATTATAGATACTTTGTGTCATCAAACCTGCTAAAGGGAAACCTGATAGAACAAAAGCAAGGTGGAAACGGGGAGCAAGGCACCCAAACCCGAAGTCCTTCCTCCCCCCATCCATGTTCAGACACTAAGCTTCTTCTCCTCCCACTGAGAAATGGAGGTGGAGCAGAAAGACAGAATGTGTATCACGGACAATCCTGCCAGAGGCAGTGGAGCTGTCCGTAAGCCTAAGAAAAGGCTGGGGGCTTGCCACAGCAGAAGGAAACCCACAGACTGGGAAAAGGGAAGAGGTGGGGACACTGGTGGAAGTGGAGGCATTAAAAGTAGGGTTTCAGATTTAACAATAAAAATACAGAAAGCCCAGTTAAATTTGAATTTCAGATAAACCACAAACAATTTTTTACTATAAGAATGTCCCATGAAATATTTGGGATACCCATATATTTTAAAAAGTATTCATTGTGTATCTGAAATTCTAATTTAACTGGGTGTACTGTATTTTATCTGGCAACCAGGTCAGAACGGCTGAGGCACTGGGCATGGAGAGAGAGGGAGTCTTGAGAAAGGAGGACGGCGCCTGAGGGGGACAGCCTCCTGGCTGGGAAGGAAAGGCTTCTTCTGAATGGTACGTTTAGATCAAGGACACAGCTGCACATTTTCATCAACTCCCCGGCTCTGTGATTCTGTCACTTATGCACCTGGAATAAAGAACTGATGGGCTCTGCTTCAGGGCTCCAGGCACGTGTTGGCTTAGCAGAGAGGAAGGAGAGACCACACACCCCTACCCCCGGTTGGTGGCAAGCAGCTGAGACACCCTCAGTGGGCACTGGGGGAGCGAAGGGAGCTGTCTGGGGAGATGCTTGGCCAGAGACACAGATTCCCCTGCCCAACCTTCCCTGCTCTCAAAGGAACCTTTCAGAAACACCCTTGGTCCAGCTTTTAATGACCAGGATGATACATAATCGATCACTGGTATGATATACCGATGTACTTATTTATTGATACCAAAAAACGTGCCCACTCACTTCAATTTGTGGTGCACCCACGGGATTAGTTACCATTCACTGCTTTCCACTAACTGGTGGCCAGTCCCGCTCACAAGGGATGAAGGAAGGACGGGCTGTGCAGAAGCTTCAGTTGAAGCCTCTTGTCAGAAAAGTTCCACCTCACGCTGTCCTCATCATGGCCTTGCGTTTTTGCCTTCTGAGTCTGTGCTGAGTCACAGGAGACTTTAGACAGGTTGTCTTGTTTAGGTCCATGCCCACCTTTGTCTTTATGAAACACGTGGCATTTTCATCTCATATATATACACGTTTGAATCTTAAATAACTGGAGAATTTTCTCCAGGCACTTCTGGTTCTTGCTGGTTTGCTAACTTTGGTCATTTCCAGTAATTCTCTCTCTCTCTCTCTCTCACACACACACACACACACACACACACACACACACAAGCATAATTATACACTTTAATTCCTAAATGCTTTTAATTGGTGTATCCCATATTTTACAGATATTTTTGGCTTCCAATAATAACAGTAATCAACACTGTATGTACATGTATGTCTTTATAGGGACGTAATTAAGATTAAATTATCCACTTTATTAGGTATCATCTGTTTGAATAAGTGCAAAACAAGAAAAACTATTTAAAAATTGGGTTTCTGTAACAGCAGTGTTATATAAACTGCTCTCAATTCATGCCTAACTATAGTGCAGCTTAATAATTATATCATTAAATTTATCTTCTGTTACTTCAACACTGAATGTCATTTTCTTACCATTCGGAGCTCAGTGCCCATATTTCATGGTCATCTGCTCACACGGCCCGTCCTCTAAGTCATTCAGAAAACATTTGAGTGCCCTCCGTGGCTTTGTGCTAGGTTCTGTGGCTACAGGGATGGATACTATATGGTGCTCTGTCCTGATTTAACAAACTTATAATAAATAAATCATGACATAGCATGTTAGCTCCCCTTTAGGGAATTTGAGAAAAACCACCATGAGGAAGTAGTGGATGATCTGGGCTTCTAAGCATGAGTAGGAGTTTTCCTCCCCCTACTAACTTTAATCCATGTGGGAAGAGACATCTTTGAATCCCCCAAGGCACACAACATAGTCTTTCTTCTGTTGTAGGTGCTGAACAAATACGCCGAGATGAATGTTTGAATTATTTTTGTCCAATCTACGTTATAAAACTCATTCTGCCCCACTCTGCAAGAGGAAGGGAGTCAATTGAAAACACACACTCCCCTTATTCAAAGCAATATCCAAGTTGTCTTGTTGTTTCCTTCTTTTACTCAACAAATATTTACTGAGAGCCTTTTTTGTACCAGGCACTATCCTAGATGCTAGGAATGCTGCAGTGTGCAAACTCTTCCATTCTAGATGAGGGAGACAGATAATAAACAAGACAAATAAAACACGTATTATGTTAGGTTGTGATCAGTGTTATGAAGAAAATCAAAGCAGAGGAGAGTGGTTAGGTAGGCCCACTGAGAAGGTGAAGGAGGTGCAGGAGTTAGCCAAGAGGATACCTGGAGGAGAAGAATTCCAAGCAGACTGAGCAGTGCATGCAAAGGTCCTGAAGCAGCAGCATGCATTCAGGGAACAGCAAGGAAGTCAGTGCGGCTCGTGTGCAGTGAGCAAGTTCAAGAGGCTGGTGGAGGGGTGCAGATCGTGGACAGTTTTGCAGTATTGTAGGAACGTGGCTTTTTCTCTGAATGAAATGGGAGGGTTTGGAGCAAAGGACTGGTACAGTCTGTCTTACATTATAAAAAGACAGCTCTGGCTGATGTACTGGGACTAGATAGGGAGTGGGGGGAAAAGGTAGGGACAGGGAGGCTTGATAAGAAGATACTAGTCATCCAGGTGAGAGATGATGGCAGCTTGGACCAGGGTGAGAGCAGTCAGTGGAGATGGTGAGGTGGGCTCATGTGCTGGGCATATTTTGATGACAATAGAGCCAACAGAATTTCCTCATGAATTGGATATAACATGTGAAAAAAAAAAAAAAAAGAAACAGAGGAATAAGAAATAGTTCCAAGGATTCGGGCTTGACAAACTGAAGGATGCAACTGACATTAACTGAGATGAGGAAGATGCAGGCAGGGCACGTTTAGGGGTGAGGTTAGTACTCTGATCTTGGAAATGTTGAATGTAAGGTACCTCTTGGTGGAGATCCACTCAGAGCCACCCACGTGGAGAGGCTGAACATATACATTAACAATGGTTGTATTACATACAACTAGACAACTCCAGACAACTAGAGGTGGGATTTTAGACATTTCTTTCTTTCTCTTCCCCCACTTCTCATTTCCTTTCCCCCCACCCCTTGGTTCCTTTTGAATTTCTCAAAAATTTACATGCAAGTTTTACTTCTACAATAGAAAAAAAATAAGCCAAGTTTAATTTTTAAAAACAACATGACTTATGAGCTATGGGGGAGGAATAATTGAGGATTGCTTGTGTCAAAAACTTGAAATTCAAGTCCATTCAACAAGCATTCTCTGTGATCCTACTACAGGCCAGGTGCTCTGCTAGGTTCCAGGGATACCGAGATAAACAGATGTGGTTCCTGCTCTGAAGGAGCTCACAGTTCAAGAGGCTCTAGGGCCAGCCTCAGTCAGTGCTGTAATCAAGGTCCAAACTGAGAACCTGGGGAGCATGAAGGAGGGAGGTAGCAGTGAGGGTGCACAAAATTCCTGTACCATAAAAACGTGACCCTGGGCCACACTGAGTGTAATTTTAATGCAGGATGGAAGCACACAGCAGGTGACAGATGGGTGATCAGGTCACTCTTTACTGAAACACAACACACATGACAGGGGAAGTCCAAGGACATCTCTGGAACAGGCGAAGACCCCACCCCCTCCCTACACACGTACACCCAGGCATATGTGAGCCAGGGTCCCACTGCCATGACTGGGTAAGGCCGTGGCTTGCTGATCTACATGTGAACCTTCCAGCTAACATGGCTCCAGTCGTGCTGAGGCCCAGGCCACAGGCAGCACTGCCCGCTTCCACACATGGCAGTGCCTGATCACAGCTGATGTTCTTCAGCCCCTCCTGACACGCAGCAGGGAGACTTGGATGGGAGACATAAACACATGCAGTTTACGGTCGAGCTGGTGGGCAAAAGGGAACATATTAGGAGGCCAGCAGCACTTTCTGAACCTCTTGCAGGCTGGGCATAGGCTAGGTCCTTCATGCCATTTAAACCTCACAGTAACCTTAGAAAGCAGGTAGTACCAGCCTCATTTTACAAGGAAGGAAAGTAATACGGAGTACCTTACCGAAGGTCACACAGTTAGGAACTGGAATTCACACTCAAGTCTACGTGGCACTCATGCTTGTTGTTTATCTGACCCCTGAGCCTTTCGCCAGTGGCCAGCTCCCAACAAGAACTGACACCCAACACTTGCATGGCCTGGTTCTTGCACCTCTGCTCCTGATCTGCTCCTATCTCCCTGGCTTCTTTCTGACCCCTGAAATAGTTTCCAGTTTGAAGGGCTCAGATCTGACATATCCTTGGCTTCCTTCTTCAACCAGGATTCACACTTGCTACTTGGATTATCCATGTGCAGTGGGAATTTGTCACTTATTTGGCTCTCCCACTTAAAAGCCCCATGCCATGTCCAGGGACCTCCTTATTATGGGAGTCCTGATAAGCCCCCCTTCCACTAAGAGAACTTCTAGGGCCCAAATATTCCCTCTTCCCATCATCCCCTGGAAGCAAGATGGGGGCACAAGAGTTATGCTGAGCTGACTCGTTCTAACCTTCCAGTGACTCACACCATCCCCCAAAACCCTAACCCTAGAATTCCACCACTAGAAGCTTTGTCCAGGGATCTGGGTTTTAGGAGAATTTTCCCAACTTCTACAAATATAATCTGGGTCCCCATCTAGAGCGTACATCTATGGGGGTTTTTTGGTTTGTTTTTTGTTTTCTGTCTAATATCCCTATTTCCTTTGGGACCTTTCCTTCCCATTCCATGTGGTTCAGGTCGGGCTGTCAGTCATGGTGACCCTTCCAGGTCAATGAGATCCGTCCTTCCCTAGTACGATATGCAGATCTTGGGAGAGGTAAGTGCCTTGTGAATCTAGGGCTGTCACAGCCACATTTCCTTACATATGAAGAGACTCTGAGGAATGAAGGGAGCAGAGCTAAGAGGGGGAGAGAAAGAGAAAATCCTGATGATCCTGTTTGAGCTTCTGGATCCAGCCATAACTGAAGCTGGACAGCCACCTCGGTTTCTCAGCCAATACCTTGCCTACTGTATAAGCTATGATGAGTTGGGTTGCCGCCACTTGCAACTGAAGTCCTGCCTATCTGCCCATTTATAACATTGACCTTCTCCCAGGGGCCTGAAAGCCTGATCTTCCTAAAGCCTGAGGAAATTGGGATTAGGGAAAGAATCTTTTTTTACATAGCAGAGAAGGGGAATACAAAAACAGGCAGAAGCAAAGCCAGACAGGGATTTTTAGATCTCACTCCTAATACTCCATAAGAAAATAGACCCTCCCAAGTGTACAGTATCTTCTGTATCCTGGAGATCTTCCCCAGGGTCTCCAAGAACCTCTCACTCTCCTCTACTCCCCGGCACAGAAAGTGCCACTCACCTGCTGCATCAACCTCTCTGCCACTCTGGGGGCAGTGAGGTCTTCTGGGGAGGCCACGCTCAGCCTCAGGAGGAGGAAGCCTCCATCCTCACCTGCAAGTTGAGAACAGTGGGAAGATGAAAATATGGGTAAGTCATTTCAGGAATCAAGATGTGAACTGTGCTACCCAGTCTCTGTCCCCACGCTGCATATGTGTGCTCACACTCATGTGTAAATGAGTCTGTGTTCACATAGGATCTTACCTCTATTCACTGCAAAGAGAAAGGATTCCTTCTGTCCAGTAACTGGACCCATCGTAGTGTCTTCCCAACAAGAGGGAAGGAAATGATGGCTAGAGGCCCCATCCACATTTGGAGAAGTCAAAAGAGTAGTGTGAGGAAGGAGAAATGAAAGTGGATCTAGAATGTTCTCAAGGTCTGGAGGCCTGGATGGGGCTGTTGGGAAAGGGGCCAGCCGGGGAGAAGGCTGCAGAGAGGCTGGTCTCTGAGGGGATGCACTCAGCCAGTGCTTCCAGCTCCAGGTTGGCAGAGGTCTTTCAATCCAGCCTTCCTGACTTAGCAGCTTGTAGGCAACTTCCGTCTTTTCTTGAGCCCTAATATGCCTGCCTTTACCTGCCACATTTTAGTCATTTCTTCCTGTTAGAATACTATTAGAATTGATCCAGCAATTGCACTCCTAGAAGTTTATCCTACAGAAAATAACACACATGTGAAAAATGTGCTATTTACTGCAGTGCTGTTTGTCATAACAAAATACTGGAAAAGACCTAAATGTCCAAAAAGAGTCATGTACCACAATATTCATTGCAGCTCTGTTTACAATAGCCAGGACATAGAAGCAACCTAAGTGTCCATCGACAGATGAATGGATAAAGAAGGTGTGGCACATATATACAATGGAATATTACTCAGCCATAAAAAGAAATGAAATTGAGTTATGTGTAGTGAGGTGGATGGACCTAGAGTCTGTCATACAGAGTGAAGTAAGTCAGAAAGAGAAAAACAAATACCGTATGCTAACACATATGTATGGAATCTAAAAAAAAGGTCATGAAGAACCTAGGGGCAAGATGGGAATAAAGATGCAGACCTACTAGAGAATGGACTTGAGGACATGGGGAGGGGGAAGGGTAAACTGGGACAAAGTGAGAGAGTGGCATGGACATATATATATACTACCAAATGTAAAATAGATAGCTAGTGGGAAGCAACCGCATAGCACAAGGAGATCAGCTCGGTGCTTTGTGATCACCTAGAGGGGTGGGATAGGGAGAGTGGGAGGGAGGGAGACGCAAGAGGGAAGAGATATGGCGATATGTGTATATGTATAACTGATTCATTTTGTTATAAAGCAGAAACTAACACACCATTGGAAAGCAATTATACTCCAATAACGATGTTAAAAAAAAAAAAGACTTAAATGTCCATCCATAAAACACTGGTTAAATAAATTATGGTAAAACAAAATACCGAGAAGCCATAAAAAAGAATGGCCTTGTCTCAGAGATCTGTGTTTAACACATGCTCCATTTGCATGAAAAGGAAGATGAGAGATATTATTCTATATCTATATGATATAGTATCTATGTCTATATTATATCGATATCATATGTAGATATCCTCCATCTTCCCTCTTATGCTTCCATATGCATATGTCATGTCCAGAAGAGGATTCACAAGAAAGTGATACCATCAGTTACGGATATAAGGAAAACTGGGGAGCTGGGGGACAGCAATGGGAGAAAGACATTTTACGGTGTACTCTTTTGTACTTACTCAATTTCAAATCATGTGAATGTATCATCTAATCAACAAATAAAAGCTTTTTAAAATAAAAATATATTAATAAATTGAGCCTTTAAAAATAAAAGCACAACAGGAGACTGAGTTTTGGAATCAAACAGACTTGGAAGTCCACTGTTACTTTTTTACCATCTTTAAATCTATTTCCTCATCTGTCAGGTGGGGTGTAAGAATACCCACCTCATAAGGTAGTTTTGAAGGTTTAGTTAGAGGAGATAACATGCAAAACTCATACAGTAGTTTACTGCCTGGCATCAGAGAGAAACTTCAGCTGGTGCCAATGCTCACTAGCTGTGAAGTATTTTTATATCACCTCTGCCTGGAATACAAAAGATATTCAGTAACGTGGTTGTGATTAATATTTTTATTTCACCCCCCAAAAAAGGCAGTGCAAGCTGAGGATACTGCAGGGATGAGGCGCGAGGAAAGAGTGATGGGAAGTGTAGGTGAAGGCTATAGGCTGACTGGGAGCTGGGCTGACAAGGCACCTCTTCTCCAAGAAATATCTGTTGTCTTAGAGATGTAGCTTTATTTATTTTTTAACATCTTTATTGGAGTATAATTGCTTTACATTTTTCTGTTATTTTCTGCTGTATAACAAAGTGAATCAGCTATACATATACATATATCCTCATATCCCCTCTCTCTTGAGCCTCCCTCCCACCCTCCCTATCCCACCCCTCTAGGTGGTCACAAAGCACCAAGCTGATCTCCCTGTGCTATGCAGCTGCTTCCTACTAGCTATCTATTTTACAGTTGGTAGCATATATATGTCCGTGCCACTTTCTCACTTTGTCTCAGCTTACCTTTCGCCCTCCCCCGTCCTCAAGTCCATTCTCTAGGTCTGCGTCTTTATTCCTGTCCTGCCCAGAGATGTAGCTTTAGACTCCCAAACCTTTGCCCAATTTATTTATTTATTTTAAGTCACCATTTATGGCACCAATCCCAGCAAGTGCATCCAGTGAGCTCCATTTTCATGGGGTCCCAGCTGCTCAGAGGGCAGCAGTTTGGGCCAGATGCCCATATGGTGTGGCCCTGGCTGAACCAGAGGCGTTCAGATAATGAGGGCTGTGTCTTTTAAGTAAAATTTGGGTCCTTGCCTGGTGCACAGTAGTTACTTAACAGTCAACTCCGTAGAATGGCAGAGATGGAAAGGACTTCATCGCAACCTCCTCCAGCAACTGGTGGAGAAACTGAGGCCCAGAGAGGGAGAGGGACCTGTCCTAGGTCACTCAGGTTGTTAAGGGCAGAGACAAGATCCCAAACCATTTCTCCACACTTTTTCCATACACCACCTTAATTCTGCTCGTTACTGATTTTGGCAAGTACCACTAGAAGATCATGAAGAGGTGACATCAGAGACAGGGCTCAGAATAGGCACCCAGATCCTTCCTTTCTCCCTACTCCCTAAACATGCAGACTCCAAACCCCAAATCCCCAAAAATCACACATGGGGGACCAGCCGCTCACCTGCAGTAACATCTGTCAGACTTGTCTGAGCACTGGTGGACGTGGCTGTTGAGGGTTTCCCTCCAGCTGTGCTGGCTATCTTCAAGGTGTTTGCAGAGGCTGTGGTCTTGGCTAAGGTGATGTTTGTTTCTTGACTGCTGTTGGCTGTAGCCGGATGGACAGAAGGAAGAGGGCTCCTGCTGTTGGGAGCGGGCGCACTGAATGTGATGTCAGTGGTAGAAGTCTCTGAGCGGGTGGAACTCATGATGGTAGTCACTTCAGACAGGCTGTAGACCGTAGCTGAGAACCTAGCAGGGGAAGTCACCTCGCCTACTGTTGACGCAGTCCCTGTGGAGATTGTAACTGCTCCTGAGACCTCGGTGTGGCTTGTTGTCTCAACAGAGAGGGATGAGTTTTCTTCCAACAGGTTCATGCTAACTGTCACCAAGGTTCCACTGGGGGCCGTGGCCTTGGCGGCTGTTGTTTCCATTTCCGTGGTGCTACTGATGGTGAGTGTGATGTCAGGTGTGGCTGATTCTGTGGCGCTGGCTGCTGACAAGGTCTCAGCAGAGGCTGTGGTCCTGGCAAGGTGTGATTTTGCTTCAGTGGAGTCAGGCAAAGCGGATGTCTCGGGGGTAGGCAGGGCCTTTCCTCCTGTGGGGCTGCGATCTATGTCTGAGGTCCCAGGGATGCTGGTAGTTGCTTCTCTTTCTGTAACACTGCAGTCGATCACCTCGATGTTGCTGATGTTGTAGGTAACCAAGGCTTTAGCCAGAGCAGCGATGTCAGATGACAGGGCTTGTGAGGCAGTGATGGCTGGAACTGAGCTGTCAGAGGAAGCGCTGCCCTCTGAGGACAAGGCCTCGGCTTCTGTAGAGGTGTGAGCTAATTTCAAGAAGTCTACCATGATTCTCTTTGCCTCTTCAGAGCTGTCGAAATTGCAAAGGGTGTCAAAGGCGGCTTTCGAGAGCTCAGTGCCTGTGACGGTCTCAACTGTGGTCATTTCACGTCCCGTGGGGCTGCCGCTTGTGGCTGATGTCTCCATAGGAGTGGTGATCACAGCCGAGGACTTGGAAGGCATTATTTTTATGAGGGCCATGGTCTTGTTTTCCCTGTTCTCTGCTACTGAAATGGTGCTGCCTGGGAGGAAGGTCGTATCAGAGGTCTGGGTGCTTAGGGTTTGAGTTTCCAAAGAGATATGGTTTGACATAGAGGTCTCAGTGAGATCAGTGGTCTGGAAGACTCCCTCTGAGCTCATCCTGACCCCTGGAGTCACAGCAGGCACTCCTGTGTGGCCTGGTTCACTGGTGCTGGGGCCTGTATTGGGTAAGACCAACTTTGTGAGCTATGAGTCCCACGGCACTGACTTCACACAAGCTCTTGTTATTATGCCCTGGGTACTGCTGGGAGGAAGGTGGGGAGGGAGACTGCTTTTACCCTATTTTTCATCTATATATTCAAGGAAGAGGAGGCACTATTGGGAAGATCAGGCCCATGTGGCAGCCACGGTACTGGGATTGCCCTGAATGATGTTCTCTGATGGCCCACATGAGGCAAGCAATCCCCAGAATCTAGTTGATTATTGGTCTGAAACCATCCGAGTGAATGTGTAGGGCCAGGATCCAGCTTCAAGGGGGAGCAAAAAGGGCAGAAGACCCAAGTGAGCCAAGAACTGCATAGCAGGGACCATGACTCTTAGAACTTTCTGGAAGAATCTTGTCACTTTCTTTTTTTTTTTTTTTAATGTTTATTTATTTATTTATTTTCTTATTAGTCATCCATTTTATACACATCAGTGTACACATGTCAATCCCAATCTCCCAACTCATCACACCACCACCCCCTTGTCACTTTCCTATCAATTCTTTTCTCATCCAGTGACTGTTTCCCCATGGAAGTAAAACACTTCAACCACAAGAAACATCTGTGGTTTTGTGTTGAGAGGTAGCTGCGGGGATTGGAGGAGAGGAATTTCCTGGACAGTGTGGGTGATGGCTGCTGCAAAAGAGGGAAGCAGGCAGAGCCCCCAGGGCTCTAGCAAAGGAAAAGGGCAAGCTGCCCACCTGCTCAAGCCTCTCCTGAACGCGGGCCTTAGACGGCAAGGATGGAACCCCAGAACGCCAGAAATGATGAACCCAGCGTCTTCCACAGGAAACAGGGAGCCAGGTGAAGCAAAACTGTACTTTTTAGAAAGATGCTGCTAGCGTGTCTCCCCAGGGCAGGATGTCTCTGCTCACTGGACCGACACTCTGAGGTCGTGTGAGTGGAGGGCCAGCAGGCACACATTGCCCGGGGGAGGCTACAGCAAATATTTAGGAGCTGACAAGGGTGCCTCTCTTGTCTACAGAGGGAGAGGGGATCTCTCTGTATGTAGGCCATGGTGCCTCTTGAGGAGGGTTGCCAGATTTAGCAAATAAAAATACAGGATGCCCAGTTAAATTTGAATTTGAATTTCAGATAAACAAGGAATTATTTTAATGACAAATTCTTTTAGTATGTGTATTTCTCATGTAATATTTAAGACATACTTATACTGATAAACTCATTACCTGAAATTCAAATTTAGGTGGACACCCTGTATTTTATCTAGTAACCCTACTCTTGGAAGGAAAAGATGAAAATATAAGCACCCTTTTTCGGGGTTCTTATGGTTTAAGATGGTCTTTCCTGAGACCTACTGGTCCCAAAGTACCCAAGGGCCCAAAGGAGGGCCAGGACCATTTGGTCACCTCTACCTAGGGTGTCAGGACAGGTCCTCGGCTTGTCCTCTTATGTCTCCCATTGGATAATGAAGCATCACTGGGCCAGGAGGCAAGAGACTGGGTTCTAGTCCCAGGTGTGTTGTCTACCAGCTCTGGAGTCTGATGATTTACTGGTGCAAAAACTGACTCTGTCCCCTACCAGCAAGGGCCTCATACCTGCCTTGCTGTGGGGGTGAGGACCAGAGGGGAAGGGGAATGGGGAAGCCCTTACATTCCAAAGCCTGCAGGGGGTTATTAAGCATCCCTCCCTGACCATGTCCTTTCAAGGAGTCACCTGAGAGCACACAACCTACTTTCATACAGCGAGAGTTTCAGGCTGTACCCACATGAGGATTAGGTGGTCATGGCACTCGCTCTCATTACCTGTTCAGTGCGGTCTACCTACACACACAAACCACGCTTTTACAGAAATATACTTGCTTCTCTCTACTTCAAAGCCCAAGATACTTCTCTGAGCCTCTCAGTCCCCACAGGTGGAGGCAGAGCCCTTCTGCAGCCGCCCACACAGCCTGAAGCTCAAGCTGTGGGGTCTGACCACTGACCTCCCCTCACACATTTTCTTCCTTTCTTGGGAGCCTTGTGGGGTCATCTTGCGGTGAAACCTCCTCATGCTTCCCAAACCCATAGCCTCTTCATCTCTGGAGCCCTCACAACCCCCCACACAACTCTCTTACCCACTGGGGGTCTTCTCAAACAGATCAAAGCCCACCCTGGCTCTTTACAGCTCTAGAATGCTGCAGCTCTCCTGACCCATTCCTCAAGTCAAACTGGTGGAGAGGAAAACATCTGGACTTGGACTCTGAGTTCGAATCCCCTCTCTGCTGCTTGCTCTGCTGCTTACCAACCTTGTGACCTGGCCAGTTCTCCCAGCTCCAAGCCTACATTTTCCCATCTGTGGAATGGAGCTGGGGTACCTATTTCATAGGATTGTGAACATTACATTAAATTAAATGTCAAATGTGCAGCACAGGACTTCCCTGGTGGCACAGTGGTTAAGAATCCGCCTACCAATGCAGGGGACATGGTTTCGAGCCCTGGTCTGGGAAGGTCCTACATGCTGTGAAGCAACTAAGCCCGCAAGCCACAACTACTGAGCCCACGTGCTGCAATTACTGAAGCCCGCGCGCCTAGAGCCGGTGCTCCGCAACAAGAGAAGCCACCGCAATGAGAAGCCCGTGCATAGCAACAAAGACCCAACGCAAAAAAAAAAAAAAAAAAAAAAAAAAAAGTGCAGCACAAGCCTGGTAGATCATGAGTGCATGCAGGAGGCAGTGTGGTCCAGGGGTTACGTATGTGTGGAATAAAAGCCTGGCTCTGCAGACAATTTACTTAACCCCAGTAAGAAGCCTCAGTCTCCTCACGGTGGGCGGGGGGCTGGACGAGAGTAAGAATGAGAATTGTATCTCTCTCACAGGGTTAACTGTGAGGATTAAAAGGATAGTGATGGCTGAGTAGAGTTGCCTGTGCTATACAGTGGGTTCTCATTAGTTATCTATTTTATACATAGTATCAGTAGTGTATATATGTCAAAATGTCATCAAACTATATATTGTGTTACAACTTTTTTCATTCAATAAAACGTTATGGGTATATCCATGTCAAAAAAAAAAGTGATGATCACAAAGAAAAAAAAAAAAGATAGTGGTGGGAGTATATGGGAAATCCCTGTACCTTCCTCTCAATTTTGCTGTGAAGCTAAAACTGCTCTGAAAAATAAAGTCTTAAAAGATAACGCATGGTAATGATGTGTCAGTGTAGCTTCCTCGATTGTAATACATGTACCTCTCTTGTGAGGGATGTTAATAGCAGAGGAGGCTGTGGGGAGGTGGGCAGAAGATACATAGGAATCTCTGTACTTTCTGCTCAATTTTGCTGTGAACCTAAAACTGCTCTAAAAAATAAAGTCTATTTTTACAAGAGATAATGCATGTGACAAGCCTCGCACAGTTCCTATTACAGATCAATGTTCATTCTCTTCTTTCATAAAAGCCTTGCCTCTCTCAGAATCCACCCTCCACAAGCAGCCTGTGACAGTCAGACTTTTCACACAAAAATGGGTTTTTGAAGGAAATCCATGCTAGAAAATAAACTTGGAGGAGAAAGAATCTTGTCAAGCCACATTCTTAGGCTTTAATCAGATTTATCACCAGCCTGCACCTCCCTGACCCCCACAATCTCCCCGCCTCACGTACTCACACCCTCACAGGCATAAAGACAAACCAACAGCAACCTCACATTTGTATGGACCGCAGAGTCCCACATGCTTAAGCTGACCCAGTGCCATTGCATACTATCAGCCATAGTAATACTTCATGTATATAGCTTTATGGTTGATGATAACTAACCTGAGAGAGCTACCCTCACCCACAAAGGGCTGCAGTACAGAAGCTCTCACCCAGAGTCAGGAGAGAAGCCCACAGGCACCCTCTTGCCTCCTTACCTGCGGAGCTCCTAGGAGCCACAGCCACCCAGCAGAAGAAGAAAAGGGGCAGGGCCAGGCCCCAGAGAAAGCCCATCCTAGCTGGGGATCCGGCCACCATTGCCCAGCAGATCTGCCCACTGCCTCTTGCTGCCACCTTTTCCTGCTTGCTCAACCCGCGGAGCAAGGGCGGGCCACCTGCTTAGGTGTGGCTGGGTAGTTTCCAGGATGTAACCAGGTGATCACAAGTGCACAGGCTGAGAGCTGGCAGGTTGTGTGTCAGGGCTGACAAGGAGCTAACCCTCCTGCCCCCCTTGCCCACTGACACCCCCCTCTCTGAAGTTTGGTTTGAAGATATGGAATCATTTCCACAGTGATATTCATCCCCTGGGTCCTGCAGGCAGGGAGGCCATGGAAGATGGTGTTTCACACACATTTCCCCCTTCCCACAGCCTTTCCCCCCTCCCTCTCCCCTTGTGCATGGGGCTTTGACTTCTAGTTGGAGAAACATGGATTTTATTCCTAATTCTAGACTTACTAGCTCTATAATCTAGGGCAAATTGAAGAACTTTCTGAACCTCAACCTCCTGATCTGTAAAATGGGCATAATCCTTACCTCACTGGGCTGTTTCATGAGGCTCACATGAGATAAAAAGGCTCTATGGGCTTCCCTGGTGGCACAGTGGTTGAGAGTCTGCCTGCCGATTCAGGGGACACGGGTTTGTGCCCCAGTCCAGGAGGATCCCGCGTGCCGCAGAGCGACTGGGCCCGTGAGCCATGGCTGCTGAGCCTGTGCGTCCGGAGCCTGTGCTCCGCAGAGGGAGAGGCCACAACAGTGAGAGGCCCGCGCTCACCCAAACAAAAAAAAAAAAAAAAAAAAAAAAAGTCTCTAACAGTGCCTGCTACATACTTGGTGCTTGTTGAAAACATATACATTTTAGGTGCTCAGTAAATGAGTGAAGGCCCTGATGTCCACTCAGATCCTCAAGCAACAGAGAGAAGGAACAGCCCCCTGAGGTCTGCAGGAGACAGCTCTCCAGTGTGGGGCAGGACTCTGATCCCTAACATCCTTCCATCTTTACATCCTGTGATCCTGCATCCCAGCCAGAGGCAGGATCATGCCTTGGGCCAGACTGGAGGTGTGGGGTAGGAAGAGCACAGCTGGGAGAAGGGAAAGTGTAAGTGTGCTGGTCTGAGTCCTCAGGCCTGGGAGGAGGGACACTGAGGGTGATTACTTAGGGAACCTTGGGGATTTGGCCACAAGACGGGGAATGAGGTTGCAGAATGTATTTCCAAATGCCCTAGTGAAGAATCTTATCCCCTCAAAGGGCCAAGGACATAAGCTGTTATGGCCACAGCCAGTGGCCAGACAAGGTATCTTGGGGATTTCAGGGCAAGAGTTTTGTGATGAAAGCAGCTCCAGAGTAGAGGAAAGCTTGCTGAACAGGTGTCAAAAAAATCACAAAATCTCACAGCTGGAAGGAAATTTAAAGTGGAATCAGAAGGTCTAGGTTTGGGACTTCCCTGGTGGTGCAGTGGTTAAGAATCCGCCTGCCAATGCAGGGAACACAGGTTCGAGCCCTGGTCCAGGAAGAACCCACATGCCGCGTAGCAACTAAGCCTGTGCGCCACAACTACTGAGCCTGCGCTCTAGAGCCTGTGAGCCAGGGCTACTGAGCCCGCATGCCACAACTACTGAAGCCTGCGCGCCTAGAGCCTGTGTTCTGCAACAAGAGAAGCCACCGCAGTGAGAAGCCCGTGCGCCGCAACGAAGAGTAGCTCCAGCTCACTGCAACTAGAGAAAGTCCGAGTACAGCAACAAAGACCCAACGAAGCCAAAAATAAATAAATTAAAAAAAAAAAAAAAGGTCTAGGTTCTGTTTCCAGCTCCTTCCTTGGTAGTGGCCCAAGAGCTCTGTATGATCTTGGATAAGTTATTTGCCTTCTGTGGGCCTCTGTCAATAAGACCTCTGAGGTCCTCTTGGCCATGAAGTCTGAGGTCCTGCATTTGGTGTGAGCCACTGTCTTCTAGAACTTCACCCTCCATTGGGATAAAGGGCTCTGTGGCCTAGAAGGAGAAGGGAGTCATTCTAGGGCACGGGGGTGGGATGAGGGGAGGAAGACTCTATGAGAGGAGACTGAGGGGTCTGTCTGGGACGCAGCCCAGCACCTGGGGTCAGGGATCTTGGACCCCAGTTCCAACCACACTGTTAATCCGTATAGTACTCCTGCCAGGCTGAGCCCTTCCACCCTCCCATTCAACCTCAGTCCTTCACTTTATAAAATGGGAGAATTGATTTCCCCTTGGGGGGTGGGTAGGTGGGGAGAGGAGGCCCCAGGGCCATAGCAGTGACCTGAATTCTGTTTGACCCGATCTAGTAATGAGTGATCTGGTGTGACTCTTCACCCTTGAGAAGACAGAGGAGAAATCCAGAAAGAATGCAACTCCTTTGAGCCGCCTCCCTCCCCTCCTGGCCCACCTGTCTGCCCCACCCTAGCGGGGAAAGGGACTTCCTCATTCTAGCGGCCAGTGGCTTAATCTACAGACCGAGGTACTCCAGGTGCCCTTGCACCCCCACCACAGACTTCCCTTCTCCATTTCCTTTCTCTTTTCATCCTCTAAGTGATCAACAGCTCAGCTCTAGCCCAGTTGTCTACGATGAGATCTAACCAGGAACCTGCTAGAAGGGAAGCCTGGCTGAGTGCTTTCCTGAGTTTTGCTGAATTTTGTCTGGTCCATCTTCCCCTGTATCTGGGGGAATTTCCAAGCCTGGACACATGACTGTTGGCCCTGGGGGCATAATAGTCTTATCCAGAAAGTTCCTGGACATTTTGTTCAGCCCAACTCAGCTCTCACCCTGAATGAGCATAGGAGGCTAGTTTTATTAATTTAGCAGACATATATGGACCACCTACTAGATGCCAGACACTGTTCTAGGCACCCAGGATACAGCACTGAGTAAAACAGATCCCTGCCCTCATGGAACTAACTTCCCAGTGAAAGGAGATGGCAAACATTAATAAGTGAACAATAAAGGGATGAATATTATGGAAAAAAGAAAAAAAAAGACAGGTAAGAAGAACCTGGTGTGTGTGGCGTGGAGAGGTGAGGGACAGATTAAAGTATCAAATAGCACCATGGGATCTGAGCAATGACTCCAAGCTGGTGAGAAAGTTAACCAAGTGGATACGTGGGGAAGAACACTCCAGGCAGCGGAACTGCTAGAGAAAGATCCAGAGACCTAAGGCAGGACCTAGTTCAAGAAGCACAAAAGAGGGCATGTGGCTGGAGCCACGTGAGAGGGCAGAGTTGGGGGGCAGGGGAGCAGGGTGATAAGACATAGGTGACAAAGGGCCTTGCCAGCCTTGGGCGCTGGGTTCTTGGAGTGAAGTGGGAGCAGCCCCTGGGGAGTTTTGAGCGGAGGAGTGACGGGTTCTAACCTGGGTTTTAGAAGGACCACTCTGGCAGCTGTGGGCTGGAATAGAAACTGGAATAGAGTTGGGACGCTTTTGCCCTAGTCCAGGTAAGAGAGGAGGGTGGCTCTGACCATAGTGGTACCAGAGGAGGTTGGAGTTGGTCAGATTCTGGATATATTTTGAACGCAGAGCCAACATGACTTCCTACCAGATGGGTGTGGGCTGTCAAAGGAAGAGAAAAGTCAAGAAAACTACAGACTTCTCAGCCTGAACAAATGGAAGGATGGAGTTGTCACCAGCGCCATTTGGGTCTGTGTTTGTTGGGAGGAAAACCTTTTTCCTCTTCCAACCTGGGTCCAGTGACTGGAGGCCTGCAACTTAACTAAGAAAAGACAGATGAACAGGAGAAAAGACAACGTTTGTTTACACGGGCACCAGGGAGCTGCTTAGTAATGAGTAACTCACTGAATAACCAGAGACAAAGGGTTCTACACCGCACTTAACAAAGGCATAGGGCTTAGGACCTCTGTGGGAAAATATGGAAGGTTCTATTGGCAGTCTGTCTCCACGGCAGCTAAAATTGGCTGGAAAATCCCTTGGAGGGAGATTTATGGCAGCTGTATTTTTAGAAGGCTCTGTTTTAGTCAGATAAGGGAAGTTCAGATAACATTTCTTTCTGCATCTTCTGTAGGTCAAATGTTTCCTCTTTAAAATAATCTTTATACCAACTCTGGGGGTCTGAGTGGGTCCCCACAGGTTCAAAATGTGTAGATAAGGAGAGATGGTGGGAATCATTTAAGTTTGCAAAGCCCTGAGAATGGACCCCTCCATACCCTAGCCCCTATTTCCTTGGGTTGTAGCATAGAAACCTCTAGGGAGCCCTCTCTTCTTTCATTTCTTTTATTAGGGTACAACCAACATATAGTTAACTATGCCAACCTCAAGTAGTATACAGCGTGATGAATTTTTACATGTGCTTACACCCAGGATGTATTCACCGCTCAGATCAAGATATAGGACACTTTCAGCATCTCAACAGGTTCCCTTGTGTTCACTTCCAGTCAGTATCCCTCCAAGGACCACCATTCCCACCTCTATCACCATAGACTGGTTCTGCCTATTTTTGAACTTCATATAAATGGGATTATGCACATATAATTTCTTATATCTGGCTTTTTTCTCTTAACATTATGCCTGCGAGACTCACCCATTTTGTTGTATATAATGGCACCTCATTCTTTTTTTATTGTTAGGTAGTATTCCATCGTATAAATATACCACAATTTATTTATCTACTTTCCTAATGATGGACATTTGGATTATTTCTAGTCTTTCACTATTCTGAATAACACTGCTATCAACGTTCTTGTATATGTCTTGGGTATATATATATATATATATATATATATATATATATCCAGGAGTGGAATTGCTGGGTCATGTGTTTATCTTCAGTATACAGCATCGAACAGTTTTCCAAATTGATTGTGCCTGCTTATACTATACCAGCAATGTATGAGAGTTCCAGTTGCTCCACATTCTCATCAACACTTGGTACCACAGGTCCTTTTAATTTTAGACATTCTTGTGGATTAAAAGAATCACCTGTTAACACTGTGATTTTAATTTACATTACAGGAAGCCCTCTGCTTTCTCAGGGCTTTGCCCAGGTGGTATGCCGCTGCCAGGGAAATGACTTTCACAG